TCTGGCACCGTCTTTGATGAAGCTTGATGGAGTTAAGATGTATTTTAAAAGCAATGAATCAATACTATTAAAAGGTGATCTTTTCCTTTAATGAAATATTTACGTTTTCCAAAAGAGTTTTTTTCATTGTAGGACAATTTTGAGTTTTTAATAACAATATAGGGCAGTTTATGCTTTTGGGGTAGTTTTTTGTAACTAGAAATTAATTATTGTCAACTAGAGTCTCTTTATCTAGCTAAAGTGGTCCTACAATTTTCTCAGATTTACAACTTTTTGTGTCTTTTCCCGAGAGTAAACAAACAAAATTTAGAAATAAAAAATCGTCAAAAACTTCTTCTTCACATCTCACTTTTCAACCTCTCAATTCAAGTCTCCTCTCCGGCGTGTTTCTGGATCCTCTTATATGACCGGCGGTGAATCTCTGTCGAGCTCGATCACTGAAATTGTTACAGTTCGTTTTCTTCTTCACCGTAAATCAACACATCGTGCTCTTCAATTCATTTCCCTTGTGCTGTAACAGTAGCTCATGGTGATATGATGCTCAAAATCCCACCATGGTGGCCCTTTTTCAGTTGCACAGTGAATCTGAAACAACAATGGCCAAATCTCACAGAAACTCACTATTTTTCAAAAAAAAATCTAAAGGTAAAAATCTACTTATAAATGATAAATTTATGATCTTGAAGTGTAACCTACAATTAAAATGTAAAATAATGGAAGACTATGAGAAAAAAATCAATGGCAGCCGCAAAAAAGTGTTGCAGAAAACTCTAAAATTCTGGGAAAGACGAAGATATAATTACTAAAATACCACTCACTAAAAAGTTGAAACTAATGTGTATACATGTGTAATAACGTGTACACATTGTTTAACAAAATGCGTACCAAGCTTCCGAACAAGACATACAAGTTCATGGGCGTACACATGGATAATAACGTGTATGTACACTATCATATATGGTATTGTACAACTACTAGTGATGGAAGCATACTCCCATATTTAATAGAAACAATAATCTGAGTGTACAATATGAGCACTTAAATGTAGTGTACACATGTAGTGTACACAAGTATATTTTGAAGTTGATGTACATATGTCCATTATGAAATAGACGTACATGTACGACATGAGCATTTAAATGTTACTATTGCATCTCAATTAGTTAATTTTGAGATTATTTAAGTAGCATTTAAACAACAATCTACCTATATGTGTACAACTTCTTTACATATATTGGTTCATTTCCGATGTACACGTGTACACGTTTCAAAGTATACATGAAATAACCTGTCCATTTGTCTTTAACTTCTATTTTTTTTTTTTAATTTTCTACACGTGTACACACATGCTGTTTGTTAAAATTGCTCTTACAAAGTGTACATGAAATTACCTGTACAAAAATTGATCTTACATATGGGTATCTATGCATCGGTATACACGTGGACAATATTATACAAATGAATCATTGTACATGATAGTAAAAATTATGTGTACACATATACATCATATGGATGTATACATTGTGAAACTTGCAAAATTATCCAATTAGATAGTGTGATATTATGGTAATGTGTACACATATTTCAGTTATATCACTTCTAAGTCTAAGTACGCAACTTGAAACTTGTAGATCCAGATGAGTAATGTTATGTCATGGTAAGAATGCGTTCATATTTTTAATTTAGTTGTTGCAAAAATGACCTTTAATTTCGCCATAAACTTATTAATGTGCATTTCAACCTTGTTTATATGCAAATAAGCACACCCATATTTTTCTTTGGGGTATGATTCATTTATTATGTATATTGTTGTAACAATATGCATACATGTATGTAATCATATGTATATGACATTATGGATACAAAATTTCACTATCCACATGTTCATTGTTCTCATGTACACCATGCAACTTGTGCAAGGATTGATATGTACACATTGTACATAATATTTATTTTAGCTAAAACTGAAAAATACTCTATGTTTCAAAAGAAAGATTTTCACTATCCTCATATATATAAACATTAAACATGTACATCTTTCAACTTAGAGCAGTTTACAAATAAATATGTACACCAATTTGGAATGTACATGTGTACATGTCACGAAATGTACACAAAAATAACTCACAAACTTCTTGATTGTTCATTCAAGTACATCTTCATAATTGCACAAATGATACTTGATCTTTTGTTAGTATTTGCGTTCAATACTCTCTTTAATTTAGCCAAAAACTATTATGTTTCTTTGTTTTAGCCAAAAACTATGATATTTTATGATTTTAATGATTTTGAATGTATTGCGCTAGTTTATTTTAATCATTTTATTTAACATTTTAAATGTATATATTGCATTTGTATATTTAATTTAATGATTTTGAATATCTTGTGTTAGGACACATGTTCACCTCTGAAGAGTATTGGGGTTAAAGTTAAATGATATAAAAGTTAAGGGACCAAACATGCAAAAATGTTAATCTTAACCATTGTTGCTTTTGAGCTTTTATGATGGTTGAAGGGTTTGGCAGAGAGGAACATTCGAGGTCACATCAATGATGAATCACGACAAAGAAGAAGGAATTGGAAAACGGCACGAAAGATTGAGTCAAAACACGACGGACCGGATTTGCCGTGTAATGTCACGAAAAAGATGAACATGGCGGCATAGAAATCGAGTTTGCCTGAGGCTCACAGGCGAGTTCGGAGCAGGAATAAAGCATAACAACATAAGAAAACAGAGACACCATGGTTGAACCTTGAAATAGTGAACAAGGGAAAAAGACGAAGAAGAAAATTATATGGGGTCCATTTTATTTTAGTTAGTTAAAGGTTAATTAGAAAGTGACTATCTTGTTTAGAAAAAAAGAGGAAAAAAAGAGAACTAGTTAGAATAAACTGTTTTAGTAGCATAAACTGTTCTTTTGTGTAATAAAAAACTTAAAACTGCCCTATGATGTAATTGTTTCTTTCCAAAAATTACTCTAAATGTTATGAATAAATTAAAATTTTCATTAATGGCATTATTGGTTTTTATTTTTTGGGCCTAAAACCTATATAAATAATTACATTCAATATATATTTAATGGGTTTGATTGATGGGTCAATTTATTTATTTATATTTTTATCAATTTAAAATAAAACCATTTTTTATTCAGATCAATCAAAATCAATGATAAAAGTATTTTCGTGATAAAAATCTGAAAATAATAATAAAGTAAATATTGATTAATAAATACGGGAATGGAAATAAATATGACCATATAAATAATTAATGATTTCAAATGTATGCATAAAACATTTTAATCTATACTATTAAATTTTGACTTATGCCAATAAATTTATTATCCTAAGTTATAATAATAAAAGACAAGAAATCATTATTAATAACATGCTATTATTCTTACATATTTGTCTTTCCAGACTGAAAATAATGTAGAGTTCTAATAATAAAACATTTGTCTCAAACTGTTTTTCTTTAAAAAAATTAGAATAGATACTATTAATAAAAATAGAAAAATGAATGAGCAATAATTTGTTCTATATTAATGTAGTTTGATAATTAATATACTTACAAATAAATTTAATAACATTTTTAATAGTATAGATACATGATCTTAATCTTCGAATAGATTTCGACAACTTACAAATAACACAAATTCGTAATCAAATATTATGTACAAAAAAATTTATTCTTATCAAAGTCAAATATTTATTAATATATTAACAAATAGATCAATAAATCTCACTCGGATATGGAAATTCAATGAAAATATTGTACCAAACTGAAATAATAATAATAGAACAGCTCTTAAATATTATCGATATATAATAATAGTTATAAATTCATTTAATATTTGGCTTTACGGTCAACAAAAAGTATTTGTGAGTTTTAAAACTTTTTTCATATCCACATAATTGAAACTTGATTTTGATCATGTCACATTTTATAATTTATATCATTAAAACAAAATTTATTTTATCCATTTGTAGATAAAATAACAAAAACAGTATTCGCGGTTTTTAAGCGCGGATCAAAAATGTAGTGTGGCTTTAAAACGTCTAGAGGGTAGAAATAAAAAAAGAATGACTGTGACTAAGCATAAATCAGAACCTATAGACAACGATTTGTCTCTTTAAATTTGCAGCATCTCCATTGTTGTTTGAACTAATGAGAAATCGAGAAAGAACTGAAACCCTAATTGACAATATCGTCACTCGTGAAAGTTTATTGGGCTGAATACTCATATCATTAAAAAAAAGTCAGCCCATATTAAAACAAACCAAATTAAAAACTAAAACAAACAAATAAGTTTTATCAAAAACCCAAACAAAATTTTGGTGAAGGGAACACGAGTCACTCGTAGGACGCACTAATTAATGATGTGGCACCGTAAGAGAAAACTCTTCTTTATAATAATAGATAGATAGATAGATATGTAGTCATAATTCTAATATATATATATATATATATATATATGTATGAATTAATAGATACTAACTAAAATTCATTTTTAAATTATATATACGTATATGTATGAATGAATAGATACTAACTAAAATTCATTTTAAAATTTTCTAAATTCCAAAACTTTACTTTTATTTGCTTAATCCTCATTAATTTTTAAGTCAATTAATAATATTCGTATAACATGAATGTTATCGAGCACACCTGATTAAGTGTTCCAAAATGCCCAAGTGGGCGCGTGCTTTGTATCATTAAATGTCATTTTTTTTTTTCAAACTTCTTCTCATTCATCGAACCATCGCCATAGAACACTTCTCTCTCTAATTAAAATTAAAAATTAAAAATTAAAAATTAAATTTGACCAAAAAAAAAAAGATTAAAAATTAAATTAAAACAAACATTGGAGAGAAAGGGAAAGAGAACAAAATCAAAGGAAGAAGAAACCCAAAAACTTTAATCAAAAAAAAAAAAAAAAAAAGAAGAAACCCAAAAACTTGGATTGCTTCCTTCCTTCCGCGTCAATCGCCTCCACCGATTCATGGCCGAGTTGACTCAGTCCGAGGTCGTTTACTCCCCTCGGTCGCTTCAACTGTGGAAGACTCTCGTGAACTGCCTCGCGTTCTTCTACCAGATCTTCCTCCAGATCCTCCGCGCCGTAGGCTACCATCCTCTCCTCTCTTCCTCAGCTAAATCCACCGCCGATGGTTTTAAACCCTTACCTAACATCGAATTGCTCGAAACGGCGCCGGATTCTCCCACCTCCGTAGAAATTCACTCCTCTAGCGATGGTGAACGCAGCCGCTTGCAGAGACTCAAGGTATGCTTTGAATTCTTCTTCTTCGTATCAATTGGATCTACAGTTAGTTTTGATTTTGACAATTTTAGGCTTGAAGTGATTTGCTCTTTTTAGTAGCTATTTGGTTAGTGTTAACCAATGAATAGTTGCATTGCGGCTAAAACTCTTGGATCACTGAGTCTTATATCCTACGAGTAGAGTAGTATCTACGGCCTCTGAGGTTAACCGTTCAAAATTGTTACATCGTATTCCAACCCTAGAGGCTCCATTTGAATATTTTTGTACAGCTCGGATCAGATAAAGGATTCAGTGTTGCTTTTACTGCTATATCCGGAGTTACTGTAAAATAGATTAGTGAATTTGTTTCAGTCTTTTGTTGAATATTTTCGGTTTGGGTTTGGTTGGGATCTCAATTTTTCAGATATTTTGCCCATGCCTAGTCTGAGTCTTCGGGGCTAAAACCTCATAGTCATTAAAATAAAAGGAGTAAAAGTCTGAGAACTGAATATGCGTTTGTAGGTAGTTCTTGACTTGGATGAGACGTTAGTTTGTGCATACGAGACGTCTAGTCTACCTGCTGCTTTGCGTAATCAGGCTGTTGACGCTGGACTAAACTGGTTTGAGCTGGAGTGCTTGTCATCTGACAAGGTTTGCTTGCTTGCTTCCACAACTTGTGTTCTTTTTAGTTGAGTTACCTCTTTATGACTCTTTCTTTTGTTGTCTTGAAGGAAGTTAATGGGAAACCTAAGATCAACTACGTCACGGTGTTTGAACGTCCAGGATTGCACCACTTCTTAGAGCAACTTAGCCACTTTGCTGATCTTGTTCTCTTTACCGCTGGTCTTGAAGGTCTCTTTGATTTCAAATGCCTACTCAAATATGTAACCCTATGAGTTGAACCTTCTTGTTTCTTGCTTCCAGGATATGCCAGACCACTTGTGGACAGGATAGATACCAGGAATGTACTCAGCAACCGACTTTATCGACCTTCAACAGTCAGCACGTAAGTTATACTTGCTCTGTTTTTTACTTTCAAGAACTGGTCTGTGGTAGGTTATTGAGATCTTTGTACATTGTTGTTTGATTTCTAATCAGGCAATACAGAGATCACGTGAAGGATCTGTTAAGCACATCAAACAACATGTCTAGGACAGTGATTGTTGACAACAATCCTTTCAGCTTCTTATTGCAACCATCAAATGGGATTCCATGTGTTGCGTTTTCCGCAGGGCAGCCAAATGACACTCAGGTCTCTACTAGTTTATTACACATGCATCTTTAACCCTTTAGATTATTGTTATCACTCTCGAGATTAATCGAAAACTCTCAACACATGAAGCTTTTGGATGTTATACTTCCACTTCTGAAACAACTCTCTGAGGAAGAAGATGTAAGACCGACACTTTATGATCGTTTCCACATGCCTGAATGGTTTGAGAAGCAAGGCATACCACCTTCGTGCTGGAGACCTTAGAAACTAGTGCAAATATATGAGGAATCTTTGGCCTACACAAAAAGGCAAAGGACTGGGTTGGTACAGTAGTTTCATCAGTGAAAAACTTGAGGAGGAAGGCACAGAAATTACCATTCGTAATGTTTATATTCTATGGTATAGATTCCCTTTAAAAGATAAAAATCTGTTACACATTCTTGCTTTCATGTAATTCTCTAGTTCTGTGTGTAATATTGATTCATATAAAAAATGCATTATTTTTCTTTTTCTTTTTGGGCTGGTTCTGTTTGGATAAAGGCTAGCGAATTATGGTTCAGACCGAAGCAAAAACAGTGTATCAAGTGAACCAATTTCAATTTACTTATAGGAGTCGTGGGCTACCAAATGAACCAAATTAAGGATGGTAATATTAGTAAAAAAACATCTCACAAGAAACGGAGTTCTTGGTTGTTTTCAAGATATGTAATCAGAAAATTACTATATTCTCGTTTACACAGCCTGAGGAAGCCGTATCAGCAGTGCTAAGCCAATTTGGAGTAGCTTATCATTATTCCCAGGAATTCAAGCATAATTCATTCAAGAATAAATAAGACTAAAAGTTATCAAACCAGGCAATACCACGGTACCAAATATACTTATTTGATACAGAACCAAAAGAAAATAGAAGATCAAAGAATGTACATTTTAAAAGAAACCTAAGAAACAAGAGGAATTTGATTAAGCATCATCTGAACCCTGTGATGATTATTGAATCATAAGCTGAGAAACTTGTTGACAAACCAAGTCAGTGCTATCATGAGGACCCACAATCTTATACCTGTTGCAAACAAACAGCATTTGTGATCATACCTCAAATACATTCTCCAGTCAAAAGTTGTAAATTTTGTGATTATATTGGAGTACTTGGCGACATGGAACCAGTGCTTGATAAAGAACAATATTAAAGAAAGGGTTCTCACAGTTCAAGAACAGATTTGCCTTCCTTGTACTTCTGTCTCATATCATGGGCAGTCACCTGGCAGCATAATCCACAAAACCAAGTTTTAACTACTCCATAATCGAATTTGGACTAAATATGTCTGCAATTAAACTAAAAAAAGTTTTGTCTTACGTATTTCCAGCCAACGTTTAATCCACAACCAACACAGAAGATGTCAGTTACAGTATGAAGTCCTGTTATCATCATTCTGTCCTCTTTATTTCCAGTTGAAACGTTTACACTAAAAGATTAACAACAACAAAAAGTAATTATGAGTGTAGAGAACAAACTTATAGCCCAAAGTGGATTATAAGAAATCAGAAAACTTACACTTCATTGAAGAGATAAGCTTGTCCATGCCTGCTTTTAAAAGACTGCACAAAACATAAAGTTGATCAGTACTATATATAGTGTAGTCAATCTATTATATGTTATTGATGATTGACATCAACACCTTTTAGTAGTTTTTTTTTTGGGTCAAATACCTTAGTAGTTAGAAAGGTTAATTACTCTGGTAAACTGAGAATGTTAAGAGGAATCACTATAAATTCATAAATATAATCAGGAAAGGGATGCCCTAGATGCGAAAAAAAAATATTAAATAAAATTATTAGAGTATCTAAGAAAAAGAAAACATCATGGAGACTGAAAAGATCAAACCTTGGACATGATGTCTTGATCTTTAGTAAGATGGGTCTTACAGTGTATGCAACTATAGACTTTCCCTTCCAGATCAACAATAAAAACTCTTCCCATCTTGATTGGAACTACAAACCTATCTCTTCCGTAAACTGGATAACTAATCCCAAAAATCTGAGTCTTTTGATTTTATAGGACTCTTGGAGTAGTTTTCGGTAACGTATAAAAACTGTTAACAAGAGGACTCGTTCTAATTGGATTTGGAAGTTGCGTATTTAGCAAGAACGTGGGCAGGGAAGTTGATTTTGTATTTTTTTTGGTAAAAAAGATTTTGCTCAAACTAAAACGTTTTATGTATCTACTAGTATTGGTCCCATGCTATGGGCATGGGAACATTTTTTTTTATTTGCAAAGAAAACAAAATTCAGTTTTGTACCAACTAAAGATAACATGTATACAGTAGTTAAGTTTAATTTATCAGAAGGAGATGCATAGACATAAAAGCTTTCCTGTTTACTTTTTATATCTTGTTCTTTTAATATTTTTCCTTATTCTTATTTGCAATCTATGCTTCTTAAGCTTTACATCTAATAATTCATTCAGCATCTGTATCTACCAACATAAAAAATTATATATCCAATGAGAACAGTAAAAGCAGCGCGTAACATAGAAACATCATTTCATAAAAGTACATAAACACACAAATATGAGAAGTATGGTTTTTTTCCCTTCTTTGAAGTTATATATATATATATATATCTACAATATAGAAACATCAAAATTTTACCTTATAGAATATATAAAACTAGATGATAACCCGCGCCATGCGCGGAGTGAGCTTTTTAAAAATATATTGTATTTAAATATATATTTTGCTATCAATATAGACATTTAGGTACTATTTGGTTCGGTTAGATTATGTTTGGTTTAGATCATTGCGGTTTGGTTTGAATTTTTACAGGTTCAGATTGGGTTTAAGTTCGCATAACCCATTTAATTTTTTATAAAAAAGATTAAAATTCATATATACTTTAAGTTTTTCAAAACCTAAAAGTAGATATAATATATAACATAAATTTGAAAAATGAATGACAAAATACTTAAAGTTAACATAAAATTGATTTATCATAAATATTTGGACAAAAAATCAATAAATATTTCAAATATTTTTGGTATTTAGAGTATCGTTTGGCTATTTTAGAAATTTGCATTTAACTATTTTACATATTTCTAAGTATTTTAGAATTTTTTAAAACATNTAGTTCGAGTACACTCGGATACCCGAAATTTTTCGATTCAGTTTTGATTATCTAGATACCAAAATTTCAAATTCGCTTGGATATCTAACCAATTTTGCTTAAAAATTTGTATTTATTTTTGGGTTAGATTTGGTTCGTTTTTTTGGATTTAGTTTTTTTTGTCCAACCATATATTTTTTTATTATACCAAAAATTAAAACGAAAGGCATGATGGTTCATATTGATTTTGGGTATGCAAAAATTTTAAACAAAACACACTCTATTATGGGTGATCCATTTAGTTAATCATTATGAACTGTTTAAGACCCATTAGAAAAACGATTGGCTGAACTAAAATCGTTACCATTGATCACAAAATTTCAGTGTGAGATTTTTACCATCTTAAGTAATTTATGGTCGTTTTAAAAAAATTAAAATATAACGTATAAGAAAAAATATAATTTTTTTTATTATATAATTAATGTGATTTTTTAATTTCTTTTAATAATATAAATTATATAAAACATAAAGAGTATAAAAAATTGTTATCAAATATTTATTATTCATAAACATTAATTGTGATATATATGTTAATCATATTAGGTAATTACGTAACTTTTATTTAAGAAAAGAATAAAAAATCTTTTTTTCTACACTACTAATTAAATATGATAGTTGGTATAATAAAAATAAACGTATGTTTAGTTGGACCAACATATTTCTCTAAGAGTTATGAAAATCATTCTCATTGTGACACGTGGCTACCAAAAAATGTTGTAATGCTGCAACATATAGGAGATTTAAACTATTAATCAAAAATATTATAATTGAAAATTTTCAGTGTTTTATTAATTTATAGTCGTTTTTAAAAATTTTAAATATAACATATATAAAAATCTAATTTTTTGTTATATAGTTAATGTTATTGTTTAATTTATTTTTATAATTAAATTTAACAAAAATAGTAGATGCTATAATTTGTTTTATCAAATCTTCATATTCAAATCATTAATTGTCATATATATATTGTAACCATATTAGGTAATTCCGTAAATTTTATTTAAGGAAATAATGAATAGCATTAATAATAGTGTTATGTTTAAGCTAATAAAAAGTATATTATATGTTTATATGGACCAATATTTTTCTCTAGTAAATTTGAGAAGCATTCTCATGCTGACACGTGGCTACCAAAGAATGTTGTAATGCTTCTCAAATAATATATAGGGGATTATTAACAATTTTGCTTGTCTCAGTAACTATTATTCGTGCCAGTTAGAAGATATATATATCAAACATATAAAAATACATATTGCAATACTTTGTTACCTTCGTTGATGATAAATTTTTGTTTTCATAAACTCTGAAACAGGAGTATACTTAAGTGATTTTCTATAATATTTGATATGGAGATAAGAAGCGATGATTGAAACTGTGAGATAGAAAACATAAGAGTAATGATGGAGTTTGAAGAATAATTTGGTCGACTGCAAATATAAAAAGGAGAAAAAAACAGTTTGAGATCATTGTCTTGAACTGGGATGAGTTTATTTTAGAAAAATAGGAATTTAGATAATTGATGTTGCAGAAAAAATAAGGAGGAAATTTTGTTTCCGCTGAATTGTTTTTAGCTTTTTATTCTTTTTTAAAAGTATTTTCCATTTGTCAAAATTTGATTGCACAAGTGACTTGTGCTTTAGTATATAAAAGATTTGGAAACATTCAGAGTCATAAGAGCAGGTTTGGCGACTCATTTGAAACTCTAAGAAAATGGATTATGAAAAGTGAATATCTAGTTGAAATCCAAATAGACAAAATATCTCTTTTTTTTCTTTTACCACAAACAATCTCTGGCTACTATTATAGAAACTAAGCAAAAAACCCTGTGTGATATCATGCATGAACTTATTTTATAAAAATAAAAATATTATATTTTATAATTTATAATTTTATATAAAAGTGATTTTTTGTTTTGTTTTGAAAAGTCTACATGTCATAATGTTCATTTAAAAATACTAAAATTTTATCTTTGTTTTATAAGTTTAAATTATAATTAAAATACTATATTGTTGGGGTCATAATCGGTATGACGGAATCAATGACCAAAACTTTCCGCAAAAATAAAAATACGTTTTATAAAATACGAGAAGTTGTTTTATAAAATT